ATTCTAGGCCTGGAAAAGCAGATCCCAGAGGAGCTGAGAAGGCATCATTACACTAGAAAGTAAGAGGTGGTCAAAGAATGTAGGTGAGGTCCTGGTGAAACAGTTGAGTGCTTGTTTAAAGGCACACCCTCTGACCCAAAACGAGCCGTGTAAGCATTAAAATATTTACAACAAAAAGATCCTAATCTACTACATAAGACAGGAACCCACAATCCCATACTGATATAAACAAAAAAGGTGAATACATGAATTGGTACAGAAGAAACCTTTTAGTTACAATGGAATGTAGACTGTAGAAGGATGGTAATAATCAACTCAGCATATTCTAAATGCATTGGAAGACAAAGATCCCTCCGAGGTTGTACTAATGTAGAAATTTTTAGGCTGTTGCTCCTAAGGCAAGAGCAATGAATGGCAGGAGACACAGACCTTAAGCACTCCCATAAGACCGTTTCTCACTCTTTTCATTTCCTCAGCATCTAGGGAAATTCATCATCTTCCCTAGTTTTACATCCCACTTTAATAAAGTGTCCCCCACACATCTGAGATCTTCATTTTCATCCCAGAGCGTCATTAATCATCAGAGGGAAGGTGACACAGATGTTCATCTGTTTTCATGGAACTTTGTGATGGAATATGCCTTTAGTTCTTTGAAACTGCTTACCGCTTAAAGCGCAAATTTCAAATAATTCAACTGATTATGATTATACTAATGGGCTGTTGATCTTCTACTATGGTAATGGATGAAGGTTTTAAAAGCTTTAAAGTTGATAAAGAGACAGGTACAAGATATTTTCGGCTTTTTATGCTGTGTGGTCCTGATAGAACCCAGCTTTATCATTGGGCAAGGACAGCAGGCCAGAGCACAGTGACCTTAGTTGTGTGTCATAAAACACTAGCTACTGACACATGAGTTTAATAGAACACTCACATGATACAGTGTGCTGTTCCCATTTTCACTCTTCCCCATTTTAAAATGGAAAGTTGTTTTTAGTTTGTGGGCTGTATAAAAGTGAACACTGATCTCGATCTGTCCCTTGCTGTAGTTTGTAGATTTCTGTGGTGGGAGTTTCTGTTCTGCCTAGCTCTGCCGCCCTTCAGCCCCAAATAACTACACAGAGGCTTACATTAATTGCAAACTTATTGCCCGATGGCTCAGGCTTCTTATTGGCTAGCTCTCTCTTAATTATTAACCCACATCCATTAATCTATGTATTTCCACATGGTCTTGGGCTTACCGATGATGCCTGGTCCCCCTTGTTCCCCAGCAGCTACATGGCCTCTCCCTGGTGGCTCCTCTCCTCCAGAATTCTCCTCCTCTGTTAGCCCCGCCTGCACTTCCTGCCCGGCTACTGGGAAATCAGTGTTTTATTCATCAACCAATGAGAGAAACATATGTACAGAAGGACAACCCCCATCAGATTTCTACTTGCAGACAATCAAATCACAACTTTAACATGTTTTCAGGATTTCTTTAATAAATGGCATACTTTTGTGTACACTCATTATAGTTTTACAGATATTTCTAAGAATCATTATTAGTGCATCCATAATCTAGGTTATGGTGACCTCTTGAAGAGAATAAATGTGTTCCTACCTTCCTTTGAGGTCTTCATAAAGCCTGGATGCTCAGACCATTTTAGGAGAATAGAGCTGGTGGAGAGAGTACGACAGAGTAGATTACTGATCTCATTTCAGAGCATCATTAGTACAAGGCTGGTTTTGAAGAAAATAGCCCCCAAAGGGAGCTATTAGGAGGTGTGGCCTTTTTGGAGTAGGTCCCTTTGTGGGATGTATGTCATTGTGTAGGCAGGCTCTGAGGTCTCATGTATGCTCAAGTCAGAAACCACTTCCTGTTGCCTGCCTATGAAGATGCAAGGACTTTCAGCTCTAGCACCTTGTTTGTCTGCATGCTGTCTTACTTCCTGCATGATTTAATGAACTAAACCTCTGAACTGTAAGCAAGCCACTCAAATTCATTGGTTTTTCTTTATAAAAGTTGCTAGGGGGTGTTGGTGGCACACGCCTTTAATCCCAGCACTCAGGAGGCAGAGGCAGACAGATCTCTGTGAGTTTGAGATTGGCTCCAAAACAATACAGAAAAACCCTGTCTTGAAAACAAACAAACAAACAAAAAGTTTCTATGCTCATGGTGTTTCTTCACAGCAATAGAAACCTAACTAAGACAGTTCCCTAGACAACTATAACTTTGGTTATATGTGATTTTCAATTATGTGCAATCTCTTTTTCCTTATTACCTTTATTTAATCATTGAATTGCTTCTAAGATGGTTGTGTTAGAATGCACCTGTATGATGAAGCATTTGTGAGTCTCAGAAAGAAAATGTGACTGTCAACCTTAGTCAACTCATGCGATTTAGAATCACCATGAAAATGAACCCCTGGGCACACCTGGAGGGTGGTTATTTTAGATTTGGAGTCAAGGCCCACCATGAATATGGGATACCATTCCCTGGCCTAGACTCTCAGACTAAATAAAAAGGAGCTGAGTGGGTGCATTCATCTGTGCTTTCTTACTGTGGATGCAACCTGATCAGCTGCTCCAAGGTCCTGCTGTGATGACTTCTCATCACATGGACTGTGAGTCAAAAGAACCCCTTCCTTGAGTTACATTTGCCAGGTATTTTGTTAAAGCAACAGGACAAGTAACTAAAATAGACATGCATTGTATATATGATTTTATTCATTTCCAAGGTTGCCAGAAAAATTAAGTTCAGGTCAGCCAGGTGTGGTAGTATATGCCTATAATCTCAGCAACAGGGGAGATCAGCCTGGACTAACGACAAACCCTGGTAATATGACCTTTGTAAATGCTTTTAAAGACTGACAAAAGTCACCAAGCATGTTTTTTCTATACTTAACAGATCATATAGTTCACAGACTAAAATGGCATTTGGAAAGTTAGTATGTTCTTTATCTTTATCAGAGTAATGTCCTGTTCTTGTTTTAGAATTCACTACCTCTTTACAATAATTCTATGAAGTAAGCAGGAGAGTCAAAACTCAGGGACAAATGGAAAAAAAAAAAACTTGTCCAAGTTAGGTCTGGTATCTGCAGTGTAATCTTTTATCTCTGATAAGTAAGATAAGGATTGTTCTTCCAGCCATGACTGAATACAGGGAATCAAATGATTATCAGGAGTTTGCTGGTTATAATACTTAAACCAGTTGAACTACCAGGCCATTTTCCAAAAGCCCCTTAGAGGTGCCTTAGAGGTGTTTTCTTCCCAGTTTCTAGATAGATGGTCACTTGAAGCACCAATTTCACAGCATTCTGAGGAAGCATCACTAAGTTCAAGCAGCAACATTCCCACTGGCTCAAGTTGGGAATGCATTAGAGAAGGACTTCACTACTCAACTAGGACCACTTAATGTAATAAAAGTGGTTATCCAGTAGGGGATGCTGAGCAAATTATCAATGTCTGAAGTGGACAATAGTGCCTACACAGGGAAATAAATGAACTTTTCCTACCTTGCACTGTTGGCTGGTAGAAGATAAAACAGTCTAATGTCTCCTTATCTTGTATAATACCTGTGTCTACTTGTATAACTATACTATTTTCTTGGTAGATGTCACAGTTTTAGACTAAAAGCTAGCCTCAACAGATTTTACCACTAATACCATTCTTTTACATATGCTGCTTTGCCTTTTACAAACATGTCAATAACATCACATTTAAGGAACATAATCAGGTCCCTCTTATTTGTATCAGTATTTATAACTGGTTTTGCAAAATAATTTAATGATTTTCTGTAGCTTTGATTTAGTTTTGACTTCACTTTCACCCCCACACAACGGAGACTTTTATTATTTATTTTTTGCCTTGCTTGGGGCAAGGGAGCTCTGACCTAAGGGCATCATCAAATATGGTATGAACTTCACAGGTATTTTGAATTTGCATTTTAAGGTACTTTAGAAGTGGATCTTCAGAAAGAATACGAATTATAAATAATGTGTCAACAGGTAATTATTTCCTTCCGGAATTTATTCCTTACTTTTCTGTGACAGGTATAATATAAAAATAGAGATTCATTTTAAGAGTTGATCATCACTCTACAATCAGATTTGGTGGAGGGGGGGTACTTGAGAGAATGCCAGCTGTGGTGGACCGTTAGAAGTGGCTTCAGCTCTGGGCCTGAGTGATGCCCTGGTTTGATTTATTTTGGTATAGAGCAAATACTAAGCCGTTTTTAAATAAGTGAAATGTTGGCATCTGTATGTAATTTTGAATCTTAGTAGTATTCTGACTGCTGTTTGCTCTATACCAAAATAAATCAAACGGCTTTCCCTGTGACATCTAAGTGGAAACATGTGGAAACAGCTATGTGAATAGCTTCTTGGAAAATGTGAATGGATTTTTTGAAACGCCCTAACACGAAATGTGCAGACCCACAAAGAACCAAGGTGAAGGGATTTCTTCTGAATATTCTAAAAAGTTCCTCATGAACTCGGTATATATACATATATATTTATATATTATTGTTAATGATTCCTTGTACATCTGCTGTGTTGTAAGAAGCTTTCTTTTAGAAACAAGGAAAGAATGCGAACTTTTTCCTCAGTGATGCTGGTCCAGCCCTGAAGCCGCCCGCGGTCGCAGCGCCACCTGCCGGACATCCCAGAGCCCGCAACTTCGGCTGGTGACTGCCTGCTTCTCAGGGCAGAACTCCAGACTTCCGGCGGCACTGTCTGTCCCGCCCCGGCTCGCCCCTCGTGGGACAAACGACCACCCCCTGGTCAAATGCCGGGAAGCTAGCGCGGCCGGCCTCCCGAGGTAGGTGGGACCTCACCGGGTAGGAAACCTCGCTCCAGGTGCCAGCTTAAACCCGTGTTGAAGTCGACGGCGGCGCGGGCGGCTCCTTCGACGTGGGCGGGGCCGCAGAAGGGGCGGAGCTCCGCCCTAAGGGCCTAGCATGAAAGGCGTGGCTAAAAGGAACGCCGACTTACGTAGTGAGCGTGGCCCCGCTCGGGGTGGTTCCCCCCTTGCAGTGGGTGGGGTTACGGCTAGAAAACGCTCACGTAAGTGGCTGCTCCTTCCCGGAACTTCCTGTGTCTTGAGTTTGTGGATGGCGTCATTGGGAACCTGAGCAGCCGCGTGAGTTTTGCAAAGTTTGGTAAGACGCTTCCGAGGTTTTCAGACGCTGCGGGGTTAACTGTTGGGGGTCCGTGCAGGGCGTGGTGGGACTTGTGGGTGAGGCGGCTCTGAGGGCTCCGGTCAGCCGCCTTCTCCTCCGGCTGCCCGCTTCTCGTGGGCTGTGGATGGAGCCGCCTGCCCGGGCTCGAAACCTTGCTGCCCCATGTTTTAACCGTGTCTTCATCACAGCTTCCCGCAGTCGGCTGTCCCAATCCCTGGGTTCAGTTAGGTTGTTGGTCTTGAACCTTTGTTACTAGCCTGGTAAGCGTCTCTCTTGCCAGGAGGGTCTGTAACACTTTACCTCCGTATGCTTTAGTGATTCTGTATATAAAATACAAACTTACGATTTTTATTACTTACGGTTTACTCCTGTAATCGTGTATTTTCTACTATCATATATTATTATTAGTAATATATATTATTTGTTTATTTTGGGTTTTTCGACACAGGGTTTCTTTGCGTAGCCCTGGCTTCAGGCTGTAATTTATAGAGATCTGCCTGCTTCTGCCTCCTGAGAGCTGGGATTAAGGCCTTAACTACCACTGCCTGGCTTTTTTTAAGGAACAAACAAAAACCATTAAATTATGGCAAACTTCCATCATTAAAAAATCTTTAAAATATGAATAATAGTACTTACCACAAAGGACGGTGGTGAGGAATAATTAAGTTAAATCACATAAAACATTAGTCCAGTGACTATATATACAGTAAAAGATCAATGTTAATTATTAATATTTTAATAATTGTCCTTTAGGTGAATTCTTTTTTTTCTTTAAATTAGAAACAAGTTTGCTTCACATGTCAATCCCAGCGCCCTCTCCCTCCCTTCCTCTCCCGCCATCCTTAGGTGACTTAAAGACGTTACAGGCTTAAATCTATATTTTGCCTGAGCAAAGAAAACAAGGCTTCAGGGTAAAAACCATTTCTACAGAGGTATCAGGGAAGTTGTTGAAAGGCCTGAGGGAGGTAGGAAGTACAAGATTAAGGAATGTTTTTGATGGGGAGTACTAGAGAGAAGAAAGTAGAGCAAAAAGGGAGAAGAAACCAACAAGTATACAATAGTATATTAGTGTGTGAACTTAATTTTGTTGCCAGTTACTACTGTTACGATGCAGTACAGAAAAAGCTGTTGCCAGTGTATGTGGATGGTACCAAATTCAGCCAGTAGACATAACTTGGGTGTCCCAGGGCTGGTGCTGGGAACACAGAAAGATTGAGATGTGTGTGCCTCATTCATACAGCAAAATGTCTACGAGTGGAAGACAAGTAGCAGCTTTTAAAGTAATCAGAACTAAGATGGATTTAAACATTTAAATCATTTGGGGCTCAAAATATAAGCAGTTTAACTGAATCCCTTTCTTTTCTAGACAATGGCCAAGAACAAATTTAAAGGGCAGAAGTCCAGGAATGTATTTCATATAGCCAACCAAAAACCCTTCAAGACCAAAACCAAAGCAAAACCAGTTACTACTAATCTTAAGAAGGTGAGTAAGTATTCCATCCCTAAGTAACAAAGTCCATTGTTCAGTAGTTTCCAAGTACATTTGCTTGGAAACAATAACTTCAGTCCTTCACAAAAGGCACTCAACTTGAAGGAGCTGCCCTCAAGGTACTGGAATGATGGCTCAGCAATTAAGAACGTTTACTATGTTTACAAAGGACCAAGGTTGAGTTCCAAGCACCTAATGGGGGCTCACAACTAACTCTAGGGCATCTATCCGACATCCTTTTCTGGCCTCTGTGGCTCCCTGCACACACACACACATAAATGGAATCAGCTCTCCAGGATGTAATAGTTGTTTCTCTCTCAAGAACTGGGATACACTTTCTAAAGATTTGCGATTTCATAATTATAAAGGAATTACGGTGGGGTAAGACAGGTGTCTAGAGTGAGTTTTCCAAGTACTTGCAGAGACCTGAATGAAAAAGAGCTAGTAAATACTAGAGTGGGATTCTTTTCTTGGAATGTAAAATGCTAGAAGTTTTACATGTTGATAGGATCAGAGAAAGGGCATTTCTAAGTGGGTAATTTGGGGTTAGTATCATAATTTCTTCAGAAAGTGGCTTTATTAAATTTATGTAAATGATAGATTGAAGCCAGTCAGCCAGTTAGGACTTTAGTCAGCTTAACATCTGGACTCACAGTGGGTCAATTTATCCAAGTTATTGAGCAAATGTTGTCAAGAGAAGATAAAAGCATCTAAAGATATGACTGAGTGATAGTGGAATACATGTTAATGCAGAGATAAGGTGGACTATGAGGATTGCTGAAGGTTTTTGAGTGAATGGTACTGTGACTTGAACAATTGGGCTGTAAGAAGGTGTCTCATGGGAGCAAGGGGGAGAGGTCCATTGTTTAGAAATCCTGCAGATCGGGACCTTGAGATGGAGAGCCATTTGATTAGATTTGTTGAATTCATGTGATTCCATAGAGGTCAGAGCATCGAATCTCTTGATAAATCAGGTACTTGTGGTGTTTCTGGATGACAATAGGGAGAGCTGGTGTTCTCATGAAGAATGTGGTACAAAGGAGCCAAAGGCTTTTAAGGAGACACTGGTAGCAACATTGAATACACCAATTCTTCTCTGGGCTTATACTCAAGAGGGCTACTGCACATTTGTTAAGAGGTGTCCAGAAAAGGACTGAAGAATTTACTATTTGAAAGGAATAAAAGTATTTGATCCAGGTTTCTTATTTTGTGATTGAGATTAAACACCATAGTCAGGACTGGTCACATAAATTTTTTTAAATGTTTTTGTGTATCATATGCTACTTCTATGTAGTCCTGCAGAGTCAAGAGGGTGTCAGATCCCTAGCAATGGAGTTAGTGGTGGTAGTTAAGCCACATGTGGTTGCTGAAAACTGAAGTTGGTTCCGGCTCCAGATCACATATTTTGATCTGTTTATTTCAAAATCTTAAGTATGAGGCAAATCCATATAATAATTACTTTTAAAAATCCAAACTTTCTGACTAAGTTTCCTAATAAGACAACAGTAGTATTTATGTGAATTATCAGTTTGGTACGGTCAAGAATTTATTAAAGACTTTTTTCTTAAAAAATTTTTTTAAATTATCTGTGCCATATGCATGGCACATGTAAGAGAGGGGTGTCTGAGATCAAAGAGCATGTGTTCAGGATATAATTTAGGCTGCCAGGCTTGCAAACGCCTTTACCTGCTAAGACATCTAGACAGACCAGTACTTTAATAGTTAAGAGGTAATATAATTTTTTTTGTCTTTAACAGATAAACATTATGAATGATGAAAAAGTCAACAGAATGAATACAGCTTTTGTAAATATACAGAAGGAACTTGCAAATTTTTCAAAAAGCCTTTCTCTTAAATCTATGCAGAAAGAGCTGGTAAGTAGAAATTAGTTGCTTTCCTAACTATATACTGAAGGCTCACACAGTATAAGTGTGTAAGTGTTACCTGGCATTTTGGTATATATAGATAGCACTTTTAAGTCATATTCAGGCTCAAACACTAAGTCTTAATATAGAACTTACTGTATTTCCAAAGGTAAACTAGAGTTAAGCTAGGTAACAATTTGTTTTCAGGGTGGATTTAGTTTGCTGTTACTTAAGCTGTTGGGTTTTTTGTTGTGTAAACATTTTTTTCTCTTTGATTCCTCAGAAGCACCATGAAAATGAACCAGCTAATGTTGATGAAGCAACAAGACTAATGGCTCAATTGTAATGCAGTGACAGTGTATCCTACTCCTCCCAAAGATCAATAAATTCAATGTTTTATACAACTTTATTTTTTGATCTTGTTAATATACAGGTATTGGCACATTTTAAAAAACAAACTACATAAACAGATCTTTCCTATACTCTAGGAAAGTGGAATGTCAGAAGTCAACAAACTGAGAGAATTAAAGTGCTAAACCAGAAGGCACTTCACAAAATCTGTTCACTCAACAGTGACGTCCCTCACTTTACATGTGGCAGTGAATGTCTGTTTGAAGGACACATAAAAATAACTTTGTGGCAGTAAGAACATAAAGACAAGTGATCTTATGGACAATGTTTCGTGATGGCCTGAAGCCTGCTTTAACTTTCTTCTCAGGAGAGGAAGCTACAGCAGAATTCGGCATTGAAAGAAACTGATATAATCAATGAAGGGGTATGCTGGTAGACAGTTCATCTTTTCCCCTGAAGCCGTCAGAGCCCTCTCAAGTTTTGTGAAGTAAAAAATAAAATGTTAGGGAAGAACATTTCAGAATCAGTGAACTAAAATGGTGTTACATTCATAATTTTAAATACTCAGGTTATTAAGAATTCTAAAATGTTATAGTTAGAGGTAGATAACAGTCCCAAGTTTCCATGGAATCTAATAATTTAGTATCTGAACATCAAACAAATCACAGACTCCTTCATTGTCATCTAAATTAAAGTTGTAGTCATCTGCTGGGGTAGGAGAAAGCCGTAAGAGAGGAAACACTGCAAAGGAAAAAGATTTCAGTGTTACAGTTGGTTCTACATGAGTTATGAAGATTACTGTAAAATTTCTCACATTGTGAATCCAAAACACAAAAAGCCCAGAGGAGTTATTAATTAGCACACTACAGATAATTGGTTCTTAGTAATTACATAATTTTTAAAATAAGTTCATAAATTTCATATGACACCCTAGCTAATGTTAGTAAAAGTTCAACTTGAATTGAAATTGCCTATGATGGAAGTACATACAAAACTTGACTGTGACACACTATTCAATTACTTCTGGGCTAGTATGTGAATAGTTTTTAATAAAAGTATTCCTTCTGGGTTCTTTCCTTAAACTGCAAGGAAATACAAATTTTAAAAGATACCCACGGTAATCTTGAATTACATGGTATTTACTCTCTAGGATAGTGATGTATATCCAGCAGTAAAATCTTTAACCACTTACCATCAGAAGACATCAGTTCATCAATGATGTCTCCACTAATAGATCCTATTGAAAAACAAGTATGATAGAGGCAATTACATTTCAGCAGTGGTGGTCACATCACTAGACCATCATGGAAAGACAATTTCATGAGTACCTACTTTCTTGGCATTACCTTTAAACTTGCCAACTGAAGACAGGAAAAGACTGCCCATTCTTCTAAAACGGTCTAAGTCTGAGTCTGCTCACTTACACTTCATTTCTCCTGCTCATTTTGTCTCCATATCTTACACATCAAAATTTACTTGCTCTCCTTCAAACACTTCTCCTACCTGCTCATTACTTCTCTTTCCTATCCCCCAGTGGCACTCTATTCTAGTCTTACTTACATTGTCTCAGATGTGGTAACTGCAAACATCTCTTCAGACTTGCTACCCTCTGCTTCCCAAAAGAACAGTTTCCAAGTCACCCTCCCCTCATGCTCACCACTGCACAACTAACTTCTACTTTCCTCCATACAAATCTGGCTTATTAGCTAGTATTTTCATGTGATTTTCCAAACCTCGAATGTGGCCCCAAGTAATTTCTCTCACTATACCAAATGGTACACAGAAAGTACTCAATTCTCTCTCCTCCCTCTCTCCCTCTCTCCCTCTCTCCCTCCCTCCCTCCCTCCCTCCCTCCCTCTCTCTCTCTCTCTCTCTCTCTCTCTCTCTCTCTCTCTCTCTCTCTCTCTCTCTCTCTCTCTCTCTCATGTTCTTTGGAAGCCAACATACCAATTGGGTTTAAGCTAAAGCATATTAGTACTTTCTTAAAGACTACACTTTCTCTTGTGCATCTCTTCAGCTATATTATTTATTTATTTGGTTTTTAAGACAGGGTTTCTCTGTATTGCCTTGTATCCCGTCCTGGAACTCGCTCTGTAAAGAGATCCGCCTGCCTCTGCCTCCCAAGTGCCGGGATTAAAGGTGTGAGGCACCAACACCCAGCTAGTAGAGTCTTACAGAAAGAAGTGGGATGTATATATGCCAACACAAAGTTAAAAATCAACCCATGTCCCAATTAAAATCTAGCTTCACTGTTACTGATTGTGAAATTTCAAAGTAGAAACAGTGAGGTATATCCCATTAGCAATCAATACAAATTATACAATACAGCTTTCAATATCTGCAGTGACTTCTGTATTTGCTCAAGAAACAAAAGTCCAATATAGTCTAAACATTGTAACTGATTTTATGTGCACATAGACATACATGCATTCAAATGTGCATTTCATAAGACACCCTAGCTAATATTAGTAATAGTTCAGTGATTCAGGTAGGGAGCTTGAAATTGCCTGTGATGGGAATAGGTATAAAACTGCTGACTGTGACATACTGTACAATTACTCCTGGGTCTATGGAAATAACTTTCAGTAAAATTGGTAAGTATTCCTTATGAGTTCTTTCCCTCAAAATGCATATGCATACACTCATTATGTCTACCAATATAGAAATACAGGATCTACTTTAAAATCTTCCTTATAATACCTATTCTAGTGACAAGCATATAGAATATAGAGGATACTAAGTTAAAACATCAAATAAGCTTATTTTGTCTCAGATCTGTTTCATGTAGTATTTATATTTTCACCTGAAATTTTTAGATCAAAGGCTTTTTACCAACCTGAAGATATTTCTGTAGCTGGTGTCTGCTGGAAACTCTGGCTTCTTTCAGAAACTTGCTGCTCAGGCAGGTTCTGAGCAGCCATGGTGGGTTTCTGTGGAGTCACTGACGTTAAGGACTGGGAGGAAGGCTGTGTGAGGTCATCAGGTGGGGGAACAGGAAAAACCACCGGCTTAGATGAACTGGATTCTTTATTTATAAGCAGCACATGGATAGGTCCTGAGTGACTCTTTAAATTTATGTGGTATTTCTTTTGTCCATTCTGACCCTTTGAAGTTATTGGGCATAAACAAATGAGTATTACCACCGCTAACTTGAAACATGAAAACAAAGACAGGCAAAGTCATTAGGATCTAACAACTAAACTCCCATGACAAAGTCTCACTGAGTTGTAACACAGGAGAAAAGACCAAGTAAAATGGAATACTGAAGTCTGTAAACCACTTGCCCCCAAAAAGTAAACTTTGCTAAAATGGCATCATCAAAAAGGTAGTTGCAGAGTTCTAAACAATCACTCTGGCCTGTCCTCTCCTCCTTTCTTTTGTTTTCTTATCCTTTCCTTCCACCTCTTTCCCACCCCTCAATCCCATCTTTACTTGATAGACTTTTACTATGTAATACAGATCGGCTTCAAACTCAGCCTCTCACATGCTGGGATGATTACTACATACATACACCACCATCCATCTTAATGTCTGTAATGTTACCTGGTCGTGGTCAGTAATGTTCTACAAAGTCTCCACATGCATGAACTCCAATCTCTGGAGAAATCTACCATGACTGGTCATCTCAACATCCTGTTTGAGTTTACAAATTTCACAAAGCAAAACTTTTCTACCCATTAATCAAAAGACACGACTGATGTCCTACATAGATACAAAATTCTTCCTTTTTCAAAAGGTAATTTGTCTTTTGAAGCTCTATAATAATACAAATCCCTAAATTCTTGGAGTATAGGGGAGAAGGGGGGTACAGATTCATTCAGCTACTTTTACCAAAGTATTGAAGATACCCAAATTCAGATATCAGTGCTTTCAGACATATGTCTTAATACAAATAACTCAAGTGTTCAGACTCTATTTGTTCTTGTTTAATTAACAAAATGCATTTATTTCTCTTGAGACAGTAGATCTATTTCTTTACTTATGAAAGCTATACTACATACCATTTCTGGAATAGGTACTTCAAGCTGTGTACCAGAAGGTGCCTGAATGGCCAACAGTGTATCACCTGGCAAAATAAAATATGTATATTCAACAGTCTTTACATGGAAATTCAGTTTATTTTTAAAAATGAATTTGGCAAATTGACTACTCTGTGTGGGCAATACACGCTACCCTTTTAGTCAACATGCATAATATAAATGCACAGAATTTTGTTATAATTTTGGAAATAGTCTCATCTACATTGCCATTTCAAGCATTAAATATGGGAAGCAGAATAAGATTCCTGATTATAAAAACAAATTCATTTAAGTTTCCTCACGAGTTCTCCGGGTTCCACCCGTGACTAGTATCTGTTATACATGGTTTCATGAAACAATGCTTGTGTTTCAAGTGCCTACGCTCCTGTGACCTTGAAAAGGCTGCTAAATCCTGATTTAAGTTCCTGTGCTCTCCCACACATAAAGTAAAAGCTGTGAAAAAGGTTAGTGCCATGAAAATAGAAATGTAAGCAACCTACCAATGCAGCACGACAGAGAAATACAAAATTATTCCCAACTCCTGAAAACACCGACAAGCTGAGTGTATGGGCAATTGTGAGAAACTACAGGTTGTTCAAAGGAAGAACGTGGTGGCTCAGGGCTTAATTCCAGCACTTGGAAGGCAGTGGCAGGTGGATCTCTAAATTACAGGACAGCCTGGTTCACAGAGTGAATTCCAGTACATCCCGGGCTGCATAGAGAAACCATGTCTTGAAAACCAAACAAACAGATAAATGGAAGAATGTAAGAAAAGGCTGACAGTACTCACCATGAAAGCAATTGCAGATGTCTTCATGAGTTACATAGGAAAATGTACTGTCTTACGAGTTAAGGAACGACATTGATATCAAGGACTACACACTTAAGTTAATAACATGAGGTCCAAATTGAAATTGAAGGTGCTGCAACATGGTCTTCAGAAAGACAAAGACAATTAAAAGGTCTGTAGGCAGAGTTTCAACAGTTTGCTCTATAAGTAGTCATTCTGGTTTCTGACATCTGAGATCTTTGGC